GCTGTTGAGAACAGTTGTTTTTTTTATTATTATTTATTTATCCTTGTTGAAAATTATTTTGGTGGAACGGTAAGGTTCCGGGCTGAAGGGTTAGTGTGTTGCTGGTGATGCGCCAGATAACTCACCACCGCTCCAAATTCCTTCCTGCCCTAGGGGCCGTCTTACCCCGTACCCTTTGGGACACCTCAGGGTGCAGAAGACGGAAAGGCCCTCAGGCCGGTTTTGTGCCCACTAAAAGGGTACGCCCCCCCTTAGCGCGCGCTTCATCCAATGCCTGAGCATCGGGAGCCACCCCATAGCCCAGAATAGGCCATTCGGGTATGGGCACCACATAATGCGCCGTCATCGCTACTATCTGCGTAGGACTCCATTATAAATCGGTATGTGTGGATCCTACGTTTGCGCGACCTTATACTAAACCTCGCGCAAGGCAGTTACCGACTTCCACTACGTAGAGTTATGGGTCGGATACTGAAGGGACTAGGAGTGTTCTTGTGTTGTGGTGTTATTTGTGGAGATTGTTGTGTGTGTGTCCGTATGTTACGCGTGGGTAAGCGTGGGTGTTGTAGTGTAATGCGTGGGTGTGTAGTGCGTGCTAGCCGATCAGCGCCGAATCGTGTCTGGGACTTCAGCCCCCCAGTATGACGACTCGTGTATGGGTTCGATTTCGGGCGTTCGACCGCGCGTACCCCCTATGCTACAGCGAACGAGAAACGCCCTCGGCTGGGCCACCTCTGCAATTGCATATGAAAAACTTTTGCATGTGGTTCAGTAGCTCGGCAAGGATACGCCCACCTAAGGGATGGTGACAGCTCCCGCAGGTGGAGGTAGCAGTGCCTCGCGTGACTCTTTCCTGTCGTAGGGGCTCGCGAGAGGTACGGATGGCGTGCTCGGCCAGAGCGGCAAACGCTCTCCGCGACAAGTCCTGCATAATCCTGCGTGACGCGACCGGGAGGGCCCCCGTGTGAGACCGATGCGCTCGACAGCGCGCTGTCGGAAGATGATGCGGTGCAGCAGCGAAAATTGACTCGCCGCGGTCAACTCCCACGCTGCGTCAAAATTGCGTCCACAGTCATGGTCAAACTGGACCCTAGCGCTTCGTTTAGACTTCTCCTGGGCCGAAACCGAGGGAAAGACGGCGCGACAGTACGGTCCCCTGGAGACCTGATCTTCCTCTTTGGACTGGACCGACGCGACCCCAATGGGCCAATTAGTGGGGTCCGGCCCGAACGGCACTTGAAACGGACCAAGGGTTAGCGAGATATTCAAGTTTGACCGGTTAGGACCGACCGACACGACCATGTAACCCGGCCAGGAAAAGAACAGCCCTAAGTAGCCATATAGATGAACAGCCAGGCCCGAATAATCAAAATAGGGTCATGTGCTATTTTTAGCATGGGACTGACTGTTCGTTTCCCAAAGTCGGGCCTGCGCCAGTCCCGTTCTGAAAATAACACAGCCCCACGCTATTTTTAGCGTGGGACTGACTGTTCATCTACCGGGAACTGGGCCTGCGCCAGTCCCGTTCTAAAAATAACACAGCCCCACGCTATTTTTAGCATGGGACTGACTGTTCATCTACCAGGGACTGGGCCTGCGCCAGTTTCGTTCTAAAAATAGGCCTGACTATTCATATCCCGAGGTCGGGACTGCTGCTATTTTTAGCACAGGCCTGGTCTAGAGTTTGACCACAGCCCCGACCATGGGACTGCAGCACTCAGCCACGATCCCTTGGCCTCTCCATTATAAAAGAGAGGCCACGTCACCCGATGGGACAGATCAGCATGCATGGCACAGATCAGACTGTGAGAGAACCCTCACTTGCGGGAGCACTGCAGCTTTGGCGGAACGGCAAGGATCGAAAGACACGAGCCAAAGAGCAGCGACGTGTCAGCATGAGCATGAGGGGAGCGCCGAGCAGGAGGAAGAGGGTCGAGCAGGAGGCAAGCAAAGGAAGGGGTAAGGAAAGAGAGGGACAAGATTAACCCCTCGCTTTCCCTTTCTCACCCCTTTTGTTCTCCAATTTTCTCTTCTCTCTTTCCTCTTCTTCCCTCCCCCTCTTCTTTCCAACCGCCTTCATGCATTGTGTGCATGCTGTATCTGATCTGTGCGAACCATGACGGAGCTCTACATTAGTTGATTGGTCATGAATTCTGTGCTCACATGCTGTATCTGAGGGCTGAGACTAAACTGTGTGTCTCCACACACCATGTGTGTGAGTCGTAATCGAACTGTGTGCCTGTGCACACCGTGCCTGAGGACAATTTTTTTGATCGTGTGTACGCAAAACAAGTCGATTTTGAGATTGCCTGTGCGGTCACTTTGAGTGTCAAACAGACTGCTTGCGCAGTCACACTGAGAACCAAGTCGATTTTGAGACTGCTTGCGCAGTCACACTGAGAACCAAGTCAATTTTGAGACTGCTTGCGCAGTCACACTGGAACCAAGTCGATTTTGAGACTGCCTGCGCAATCACTTTGAGACTTCCTGTGCAGTCACACTGGAACCAAGTCAATTTCGAGACTGCCTGCGCAGTCACACTGGAACCAAGTCGATTTTGAGACTATCTGCGCAGTCAAACCAAACATCAAAGCCGATTTTAAGTCACACCGATCGATAGACTGATAGTGCGGTCACACCGCCCACCACACTTGAGGGCCATTATCTGAACTTTGTGCTGTGTGCAGAGTGCGCACCTTGATTGAGGGCCATTTTCTGAACTATGTGCTATTCTCAACTGTGCGCAGAGTGCGCACCTTGATTGAGGGCCATTTTCTGAACTTTGTGCTGTGCGCAGAGTGCGCACCTTGATTGAGGGCCATTTTCTGAACTTTGTGCTATTCTCAGCTGTGAGCAGAGTGTGCACCTTGATTAAGGACCATTTTCCGAACTTTGTGCTATTCCCAACTGTGCGCCGTGTACGCACCTTGATTGAGGGCCATTTCTGAATTTTTGTGCTATTCACAACTATGAACTGAGTGCGCACCTCGATTGAGGGTCATTTTCTGGACTTTGTGTTATTCACAACTGTGTGCCGTAAGCGCACCATATCTGAGAACCATTTTCAAGTGTGCACTATATCTGAGGGCCGATTTTGAGTCTGCACACGTACTATTGACCAACTCTCAATTGATGACAATAGTGGTCCGGCCCTAAGAGAAAACCAAGTTTTGCACATGGTAAACATCTTTGACTGAGTACTATAATTACAAGCAGTAGTATACTCGACCTATGCAAAGATTGATTATCATTTGATCAACGTATTGAGCATAAGATTATTTTTAAGTGTGCGCCCACGCGCGCCCAGACCAGATATTATATTAATTGCACGCCCGCGCGTGCCCAGACTAGATATTATATTGATTGCGCGCCCCCCCGCGCCCAAACCAGATATTATATTAATTGCGCGCCCGCGCGCGCCCTGACCAGATATTATTTTAAGTGTGCGTCCGCGAGTGCCCAGACCAGTTATTATTAAGTGCGCGCCCGAGGGCGCCCAGACCAATTATTATTTTTTTAAGTGTGCACCCATGCGCGCCCAAGCTTGGCATTGCAGTTAGAGTGCGCGCCCATGCGCATCCAAGCTTAGCATTGCAGTTAGAGTGCGCGCCCATGCGCGCCCAAGCTTGGCATTGCAGTTAGAGTGCTCGCCCATGCGCACCCAGGCTTGGCATTGTTGTTAGAATGCGCGCCCATGCGCGCCCAAGCTTGGCATTGCAGTTAGAGTGCGCGCCCATGCGCGCTCAAGCCTGGCATTGATATTAGAGTGCGCGCCCGTATGCGCCCAGGCTGGATATTGCTACTAGAGTGCGTGCCCATGTGCGCCCAGGCTAGATATCATTATTTGAGTGCGCGCCCATGTGCACTTGCGCTGGATATGTGTGCGCCCAGGCTGGATATTGTCGTTTGAGTGTGAGCCCTTGTGCACCCGAGCATAGGATTGCTAGCTGGGATGATTTGCCGTCACGCTCCCGTTGATTTATTTCCTTGCTGATCAGCAACACCTCATGCACGTGATATTTTCCCTCGCACGGGGAGCATTGGCAGTTCAGTCCCTACACAGATGATCTGGTTCAGTCTAGCCCCAGTACGTTCAACATTTATGATTGGTCCCTGTGCATGAGATGTTTTACTGATCAGTTGCTTTTCAGCCGAGGCCTTCAGGCGGGCCTACTTGAGATCGTTGCTGATTCAGCCGGGCCCCTTCAGGCGAGCCCACCTCTCGAGATTGTTGCAGTTTTCAGCCAGGCCCCTTCAGGCGGGCCCTTTCTTTTGAGATAGCTGCTGTTCAGCCGGGCCCATTCAGGCGGGCTTTATATTGAGTTGTTGTTCAGCCGGACCCATGCACGCGGGCCCTATATTGAGTTGCAGTTAAGTCAGGTCATTCACACAGGCCTCCACATTGAGTTGTTGATTGCTATCTGGCCAGGTCTTAGAGGGAGTATTTACATTAGTGAGAGTGCATCTTTTATCCAAGCTGGCCCGTCGTCGTGAGACTGCCCCTACGTGGGGTAGATTGATTGAGAGGTTCTGCTACAGGCATGTGGGACATCAAAGTTTCACTATCAGGGCTAATGAGTTCTCGACCTCGAGACACACGCTCGTGATCACCTACTCGGTGAAGGGGGCAGAGATGGGAGTGAAGGGCACCACATACGACAGGATTGCGGATTACATATTTCGCAGGAAAAGCTATTGGAGGGACAACTGGCTACACGTGGTGTTCCCTCGCGTACCTTCGGCACCTGCCCCAAGCCCCTTAGTGAGTCCCGCAGCAAGGAGAAGAGGCGGAAGGACGACCGGGTCCGGAGAGAGATAGCCAGATCCGTGGTCCCAATCACCACATGCATACAGAGATGAGAGACAGATGAGTCGGACTTGGAGCCCTGCTCTGTGAGTGACGTTGATCTTGGTGACTATTTCGACTGGGACACTCACAGAGGCTGAGTTTGTGGACAGTGACAGGAGCGTTGGAGACCGGTGAGCGGCGACGGCGGAGAGCAACATTGAGGAGGATCGCATATCTTCTCGCGTGGTACCTACTTGAGGGTGATTGACTCCAACATGTCAGACGACCCTAGGTCCGAGACAGTTATTGGTCCCCCAAGAGGGGAGGGACCGGTCTCATATCTTGGAGATGGTTATAGTCATTTGGTCGGGCCAGACTTTGCTATGCAGGCTTATCGAAAGCCCCTTTACAGAGACCGTTTCCTCGAGGTATCCTACATCTTCTCTGGTGGGAGAGGACGGATTGAGATATTGATTGGAGCTACAGGCAACATTATCCTTGCGAAGGAGCTTTATCTCAGGAGCATTGCAGACGAGGAGATGGTGAGGTGCATGGCCTATATCTGCAAGATTGATCCAGCAGCCCCTCTCGACATCAGCTACGTGGTTCCAGAGTCGATAGCCACGCGAGTTCTCAATAACGAGGAGCCAGATATGGAGTCCCTGACGACAGCACTTACTCACGAGGGGGTACCGCTTATTATCATTGATTGAGGTTCTCTCTTTTCAGTCACGATGATGTATTACGACATTATTATTTATTAGTGACTGCAGCCCTCCGATGGCTGCTCCCTGCATGCACTGTGTACTACTCTTCAGTCTCGTTTCTCTGGTCATACTCTTGCAAAGTCTGGTTTCTGGTCTTCTTATCTTGTAAGTGTCAATTGCTTTATGATGCATGTATGTTATTTTCCTCCTTATTTTACACAGGTTACACTCAAGGCAGCTTGAAGGACTCCTGAATGATAGGGACTCCGGTGACCTTGGATCTATCCTTTATACGGGGTCAGGTGCAGGCGATAAACCTGAACGCCTTTATCTAAACCGTGTCGCCGCTGACAGGAGGGATAACCCTAACTACTCGGCTGTATGACAAAGTGTGACTGCCTCTGAATACACCTCCATTTTTATACCTATCAAAATCCTGCGTGACAGCCTGCCATTCCTCCAACCCACTGAGCTCGGTTCGGGGAAGGATATCTAACCAGACCCTTGAAGCAGTGGGGGCGCGACAAAAATGGCGCCGTTGCCGGGGACTCAAAATCTTTGAGTTCCTGGGAGCGGACCTTGATCACAATATTCTATGACTAGGCAGCGGTCTGGCATAAATCGTATAAGATCTGGCTAAGGTCAGAAAGACTTTCGGCTAGGGGAGCCCCGAGAGGAGGGGCCTCTTGCAGAAGTCTATCTTAAGTGATTCAGACCTGCAAGCAAGAGTTTGAAATTTGTTTTCTGGACCCTTCACTTGAGAAGTCCATAAGTCAGAAACCAGATGATGACTGAAGAGTATAATGTATTAGAAACCCTAGCTCGTGTCTCCTGCGGTGGTGCCTTTCCTTATATGTTTGTTAAATGCATTACTTGTGTGAAAAATACAACGACTGTGCATGTGCTTGTCTCTAGATTCCTTGACACTGATGACTATAATATTCGATTCTACATCCTAGAGGGAGCTGATCAGGACCCTAGTTTCTTTACCAACTGGGATGTCATAGTGGAGTGTGTCAAAGTCGAGAGGGATCAGTTTAGACAGCAAGGGATAGAAGCGAGTTGGAGCTTATTGCCTAGGATGTATGAGAAGATTCCTACCCCGCCAGTACCCCATGAGTTCTGCGATGGTAGGAACTGACAGCCAATCATCAATGTAGCACTGAGGAGGCAAACCTGGTAAGTAGTCAATGTCAGCAGTAACGAAAGCGATAGAGGCGTTGATTAGGATCACGACTGGGAGGTGTGTGACTTGTGAGCACGACTCAGTGATCTTGTACGTCCTTGTAGCTCGATTTCTCGATACGGATGACTATGATGTGAGGCCATATGTATCTGTTGAGACAAGGAGAGAGATCGATTATGAGGCATGTTGGATAGCTGCTGCTGAGTATATCCTGGATGAAAGGCTGTTGCTGAGACAACGAGGGAAGAAAGAGACTTGGAGTGTCCTGCCTAGAGAGTTTGAAAGATTCCTAAGTCCGCCTGTGCCCGCTAGCTTCTGCGACGGGAAGGATTGGGGACCAATCCACAACGCGGTACTTAGGGACCGAGTGTGGTGAGTCATGCCAAGAGATGTCTACACTCCTGATGACGGAGAGAGCTTCTGCTTCGAGGTCTATCTAGATGAGCAACGAACGACTGTCATCGGGGCCGTGAGAGGATGCGACACTAGAGTGGGTAGTCGTGATAAGATTGACATGATAGAGCACTACCTTGAGCTTATGCGGGTGGCTGCTTTTAGAGCAATTACGGATCAGGCTAAGATTAGGCATTTGCTGGATTGCAGGAGTTCGGATGGCAGGAGAGTGATGCTACATGCGAGAGATGAGACCATCTTATCTAGACAGCGTCCTGCAGACAGTCTGGCTAGAGGCGCTAGAAGCAGCCCAAGGCAATGATATTGGAATGTGAAAACTCTACGTCAATTGCGACTGTGACCATTGGTAGAGGATGGTTAGATAAAGTAACTAAGACTAATAGCCCGTTCGAGATATTGAGACACGACGTCTGTAAGGAAGGGTGTTTAGTATTCTATGTTCCAGTGGTCAGATTTCTCAAGACCGATGAGCTTGACGTGAGGGTTTACGCTTAGGAAGGAATAAAAGAGGAAAAAGACTATTTAGAGTGTCTGAGGAAAGTGTACATTCACCTCTCGAGGATAAGGGAGCTACTTCGAAGCTTGCATGAGAAAGTAACTTGGGGGAAACGAGTCAGGGATTTCGAAAGACTCCCTAGTTTTCTGACTACGGATAGCTTCACTAACAGGAGAGACTGGGCGCCTCTTCTAGAAGCTATTGTCGTGGTTGGTAAGGCAAGAGAGAATGACTTAGTCATGCGACCGAAGACTCTGTTTTTCGATACCTTTGTACGTCGGTTCGAAGTTCAAGACGAAGCTTCTCTTTAATTTTCCCTCACCTGACAATGGAAAGGAGCCTGTTATGGCTGAGGAGAATGTTGGTTTCCTAGGAAGCAGCCATATTTGGGAGAAGGCTGAAGGAAGGGTATTACTAGATATTAATTCTTCGGTCATCTCGCGCCTACTCCAGGATTTGGAACCCTTCACGGTAGGAGGGGCGTTTCCTTATAAGATTGAGAGATACACTGTCTTAGCCATACCTTAGGCAGAAAAAAAAGTGTATGTGTTAGTAACTCGCTTCCTAGAGACCAATGAATATGACGTGCGTATATACACTCCAGTGACTAGGAAGATTTGGCGGCGGTATACTGGGTGTCACGAGTGAGCACTTAGTCACGTCTATAAATACAGAAACAAACTCAAGAAGGAAGGTAAAAAGGTTACCTGCAGTGTGGAGGCTACTGAGTATGAAAGTTTTCCAAGTCTTCCTATTCCAAATAGTTTCGTCAATGGTGAGGACTGAGAGTCTATCCTTAATGCCATTTTGAGAGACAGGAAGTGGAGTAGTGTCAACATTGGTGATTCAGGCACTGGATAGGATTAGACGGATCGGAGACAAAGAAGGATCATGGGGGTCGCTAGGGACTAGGTAATGTCTGGTTACTGTCCGGCAGTCACGACATCCCTAGACGCCTTGGTTCCTTTTACCAGTGAAAAAACGTTTCCCTACAAGGTAAAGCGCTGCATATCCTTGGAGGAGAAGCATGCCCCTGGGAAGGCGTATATCCTTATAGTGAAGTTTCTTGACACTGGTGAGTACGATATCCGACCCTATGTTCCCTCATTAAGAGAGAGAGGGACAGATCGTGAATCTTTCCGAAACTGGATTAGTAATACAGTTGATCAAGAAAAGAGAAAGTTAGAAAGAAAAGGGACAATAATAGTTAGTAGCTTAATACCGATTGTGTTTGACAAGTTTCCCGAGCCAGTTTTGCCTGAGAGTTTTATTGACGGGAGAAACTGGAAACCAATTTTAAACGCAATCATAAGAGAGAAAAGGTTTAGGAAGAAATAAGAGTTTAACTAGTAAGTCAGGCAAGATGGTCAGAGGACCGGACGCAAGGCAGAACCTTGCTAGTTCCTCCGCAGGTGACGAAGAAGTGACCACTACCACTGTTCTACAAGAAATGTTGAACAGAATAGAGGCCATGAAGACCGGGATGGATACTATGAATGTCTGGTTAGATCTTCCGAGAGCCAAAGTACCTCCAGAGAATATACCCTGCTTTGATGGAACCAAGGTTAGGGAGTTTTAGGAAGGCTATGATGTCTTCGGTATAAGCCACGCTTGGTCTGACAAACAAAAGTTGAAGGCCCTGCTGGCCTATATTGAACCAAAGATGAGGGTGTCGGTGACAAAGACGACACAAGGAATAGCAACATGGGTCGAGGTTAGACAAAAAATGCTGGAAGAATACGCGAAGTATGACGTTCCAACAACTATGCAAAATTTGTTGGAAGTGCGACGCTCTAAATATGCAACCCTTGATCAATTCCTAGAGGATTTTGAGTGGGTTGCGCGGAGAGTACCCTTCCTAGATGAGGCCCACAAGTGTCATGTCCTGCTAACTAATTTTACAGAGGATGAAAGAAAGAGTGTGGTAAGTCGCGCTGCTCATTATCCTCTGAAGTGGGATGAAGTGGTTGAGATGATCCGTGAACTACCTTCGGTATGAAACCGAAAGTGGTCTCTGGAACAGATGAAAGCAATCAATAGTGCACGAGAAGGAAATGTTGAGGCAGCTACGGGAGGTAACTTGAAGGCCGAAGAGATCCTTGGTCTTCTCGTCAAGCTTGGTAGCTTCGAAAAATTAACCCTTCCTGCCCCAGCAACTCAAGCACTTGTTGGAGCCGAAGAAGGTAAGGTAGAAAGAAAAAAGGAGAAACAAAAGGAAGATAGTGAGAGTGAGGGTGAGAGTAGTGATGATGACGCTAGGCGAAGGAAAAAAGAAAGACAAAAGAAGAAGCGCGACCGGGATTGGAAGAAAGATAATAAGAGCCGAGATTGACAAAGGAGAGATGGCCCCTTCCGATGTTATTATTGTGACGAGGAAGGCCATACTATAACTCGTTGCCCTTTACTAGAGAAGGAACTCGAAGAAGGGATTGTCAAGAAGAATGTCAATGAGCACGTCTGTGATGCCAATTGGAACAAGATAGATGTCCGAGTCAAAGGAGGGTCGCGAGCAGTTATCCTAGAACAAGCTAGGGCCAATAAGGATAAAAAGAAGAAGGCTAGAGTTAATGTTATCACCTTTGATGGTATGCTACCTCCGGAAATAGTGGCTCGAGACGACAATCTTGGAAATCAAAACCTGAATGTATCCCATATCAGCCAAAAAGAGGTCGAAGAGAAAAAGCGAGAGAAGGCTCAAAGAGAGCTAGACCAGCTGATAGATGGGACCAAGGACCTAGTGAAGGAAGGGAAAGGAAAGGAAGCTGCCGGGAAGAAGAGAAGGGTGGTCTTGAGATCCGAAGCCGAGGAAGGGATCTCAATAGATGAAGTAGTAAAAAAATTACTCGAGGAAACCGAGATCACCTTATCCTAGAAAGAGGCAGTAGCCTTGGTACCAAAGTTTAGGGAAGAGCTTAAAAAGATGGTTGAGAGGCGGAAGGTAGAGATCAATAGCCTAAGACTCTTTCCTCAGCATGTGGAAAGAGCCCCGCCTGGTACCAAGATGAGGTTTGGTAACATGTCGTGTGGATACTTGAATATCTCTGTGAATGACGTAAAGGTTAGAGCTTATGTCCTCGGCCACGATGAGATCATGTGGGCTTGGAATAGATAGGAAAACCAATCACCAGCTTTCCAATATAACTGGATTCCTGCCTTTGGAAGGTTTCATTGATGATCTGCCTTTTCGGATTGAAACTTTACGGGCCGAGATCCTCTGTTTTGTAGTCCCCAACTTGGATCATGACTGCATTCTCGGAGCCCCTTTCCTACATAGAATGAAAGTTTGTGCGTTCTTTGGCCATGATGGGGCAGCCTGACTTTCTCTCCAGGATCCTAACAATGGTCAAGAATAGGCTTTTGTGTAGCGGACCTCGGGTTGGCCTGTGAGACCAGCCTCTTGGCCTGTTCTCACAGGCCTGTGTTATATTCGGGGTAGGCCAATCCAGGCCGGTACCTCTGTCGGTACCAGCCAGTCCAGTCCAGTCCCGTCAGTCCGCTGGGGTATACCCCAGCCATTGTTTGTTTTCAGTCTCATTCCTCACTTGCACATTTTGGAGTACGTGCGTTGGAGTCTTGCGTGGGGAGCTGCGTTGTGCCATCTTGCTCCCCCTTCTTCCTCCATCTCCATCTCTGTCACTAACGGAGCACCACACCTGGTGGGTCCGCTACATTGGTATCGGAGCGGGAACGGTCCCCGCCCCCACCCACCACACCGCACAGCAGGGAAATACGGGAAAACCCGACAGTCGGGTTTTCGGTTGTTTTTAGGGCGTTTTCGGGCAAAAAAGCGGGAAAAAGCGGGAAAAACAACGAAAAAAGGTGCTGCAGCAGGAGAACTCCACGTGGCAAAAAAGGAAGCCGCATCACGATGCGTGCGCGCAAGCGCCAAGTCCAAGGCCGCCACACACGCGTACACGCCACACGCCCACGCTGCGCCGCTGCCCCACCCCGCCCCGCTCCCGGATTTATATTATCAAGATCCGGGATGCAACTGCTGCTGCTGGGGTTTGAACCCAGGCACTTGTCGAGCCATGCGCGTGCGTAAGCAGCCTCATAACACACTCGCCACA